TAATGTTAACAACGTCAGCATTGCGTGACTACATGTAATGTCCTTCTGATATGTATCCTTGATTTCGCATGGGTCCGGTTCCAGTCTCTTTTTTTCTGTAGCCACTCCGAAGTCCAAACGAAGTCTTTTGCATTTTACAACGGGTGAATCTGTTGTCACTGGTGATTGTCGTTTGAACCTTCCTGGATCCGCCATCAAATTGATAAGTTTAATTATGTCAAGTGCTGTGAGAAAAGGCTATAAATCTCCACCTCCAGCATCCTCACACGCAATATAGCCTACTAGCTGAGACTCCTTTATATGTACAGATGTGACGTAATGACGCAAAGACATGCTCGAATCTCCCGCGGAAATCCACCAGTACCACTGGAATTAATAACATTATTACAAGCTTACCGTTTTGAATCGAGCTAAGGCAAACAGAGAGTTTTGAACACTGGTTGGTTATGTATTTTCTCAAATATGTATTTTGGATCATTTTTAACCCCAAAAAAGCTACGGACTGCAGCTTTAAGCAAAACAATCCTTTATGGCCTGAGAACATCTATAATTGAATGTGCATAAGACAGAAACAACATGCCATTAACCTCCAACATATTGGAACAACACAGAGATGTTTGTACTCACATGTGAGGTTCTTATGTACAAAATATGGGCCGTGCTCCACAAACAAGCCGAACATAGAGGTGCCTCCAGGTCCTCCCTGCAGCCACAGGAGCACCGGAGCCGTCTCTGGTCTCTCCTAAACAGAGAAGAACATGCAGCAATACATGAGTGTGCAGTTAGGCAACATCAGTAACATCACTCTAAATCAGAAAGATTCTGTAGACTGTGTAATTTGTTGTGAACGACCCCTGAAAGCACCTGACTCGAGTGATGCCAACAGTCAGCAGATCTGTCTTATCTTTAGTACTGTTCGTATGCAGTGTAACAAAACGAAGTGTATAACATTATATTACCTGGGCAGGAAAGAACCAGAAGAAAAGGTTACTGTTGTAGGTCTTGTTCACAGTGAGATATCCTGAATAACTCTTGACATTGGCACCAGGAAGGGGTCCCACCAAACTAAGTTTTTTGGCTGCATATCCACAAAACATAAATGAATTCATATTAGCATACAGGTCAGAAAAAGCAGTGAATGGTGATGGCAGTTTTTAAGTCACCATGATATATATCAAACTAGACATTATTTATAAAAAAAATTATGAAAGATTTGCCCTCATAATCCCCTACATTTTTTTTCTTGTTTGTGAACCCCTTTCACTCAAATATGTCACAACAATATCTAAATCACAACTTTGGTTGGTTTCATGACTGAACTGCTCTATCAATTTCTCACTAACGTATCCATAAGGAAAAAACATTCTTGCTCATTTTTCCCTGTTATGATAAACTTTCTAACATTCTGTTTAGCAGATGGTGAATGAAGGTTCACGAGGAATTGAAACAATTCCATGCAAACAACAAACATACCTTCTTCTATCTTGCCTTGCTCCAGATAGGGGGTGAGCATCAGAGGTTTGCCCGGGTCAACTCCTAAATGTGACCCGCTCACACGGCGTGATTTGCGGCAGAAGAATGAGGAGCATCCGCGGGAGCAAACAGACTCCAGGACAGCCCAGAGGAACAGCAGCCTCAGCGTTTGCTTCAGCATTATAGAGATTTAAGTTTAACTGCAGACAGACAGCACTGAAATATGACACGGGGATCAATGATCAAGCATGATATTAAAAGGATCATATAACCTGCTACCTGTCTTTACATGTCTAAACATATCAGACCAGAGAAATCCAGATCTCCCGTCAGATCAACTTACAAATGCGACACGAGTTACGAACATAACAGAAAATGTGCAGCAGAAACTGTAAATGTGATAGGCTGTTATCAAATCATAGCTATTCAAAAATAGATCTATTCCTCATCATACCTTGAATCCAAATGGCAGTCAGAAATCCAGAAACAGTTAAGTTAGCATCGGCATGAATCTGAACTGTAGCAAGAGTAAGAGATCAGGTTGTTGTCACATGACTATATGGGCGCTGTGTCATGTGATCTCATTGAACAGGAACTTTAGTCGAAAACATTGACCCCTAGAGGACCATTTGAGAGAAGCAGTCCCCAACACACATACCAGCTTTCCCAAAATATTCAGCTTGCATTTGTTATGCTAGGTCTCACACAAGTTAATATTTCTCAGGGTTGCTTTATTTTTAAAAGTCCTTTTCTGACCACAAAAAGCCACTGAACATGTCTATATAGAACACAAGTTGAACCTTTTCTCAAAAACAGAGCATGTCACACTATTGTTAGAATGGAACCTGTCATTAAAATGTCTAACCAAGTAAAAATAAAATAAAATAAATACAAACATTGTAAATCATTATGACACAAAAACAATTCATTAAACAGAAAAAAACATGTTTTGACCATTTTGTCGGCCAAAATAAATAAATTGTATGAATTCACAACATTCAAAATGCATGTACTTGCTCCAATAAAAACTTGCTCTGACCTGACATTTATGAAAAAGCACCCTTGTGTAAAGTCACTGCTCACTTGAGAAGCATGTAATCCTAACCTTTGGGATGAGCCGAGGCCTAACTTTATAATGTCACAGCACATATGAGAGACAAAAGGGTGATTCTGGCCTGTCTGTCTTGACATTGTCGACTGTATCAAACAATTAAAATCATGCAACAAAGTCATAAGTTTAGGCCGATACGTTGTGGTAAATATTGGAGTAATTCATTTTAAATATTAAATAATTGTAATGGCCAAAATGTAATTTTTAGCTGTGTCTAACATTGCATATAAGTGGGTTTACTGCATGATTTCTCCCCATAATAAAAATGTAAGATTCCTTAAAATTGCGACACCGAAGAAATAACATCATTTGGGCCCCGAGTATGACAAGTAAATAATGCATTTTTAAACAAACAGTAGTGTTGAATGCATTCATCAAACTATTACATTTTGATGGTTATTGCTAGAAAACCACACAATTAATGAGGGGTTTAAACTGTATTTATACACTAATGGCAAACCTCATAGAAAATGAGTAGCAAAAAGCAGCTCATGTAATATATAGTTTGACCTTAATTTGTTGAGACATAAAAAGTGTAATTTCTTTTCTGGACCTACTCCCATATTCGTGGAAAGTGCTACTTGCTTTTCAAATGGGTGTGACAAAATTACATGTTTTAAAGTGTACAGTGACATGTTATAAACTGCTACAGGCATTTGATGTGTTTAAAAATGAGTTACTTTTCATGCTAGGTTAAAGGGGATCTATTATGCAAAATTCACTTTTACATGGCGTTTGTCGGCAGTGTGTGTACACAACCACCTTATAATGGCAAAAATCCACCCACTCCTCTTTTTTGAATCCCCATAAATCATAAGCAGTGTCTCAGAATAAGCGTTTGCATTTTTGCAGGGCGGGGTTTATGCTAATAGGGCAGAGTCCATCAGGTTGAATGGAACTCTCTTCCAGGTCATATTGTTAAAACTCAAAATAATATTGGTTTTAAAAAACAAATAAAGGAATTTTTTTTATGTCAGCTTATATTAGTAGATAGAGCATATCATATGTGTATGTGTGTATGTATATATGTGTATGTATATATGTGTGTGTGTGTGTATGTATGTATATACTGTATATATATATGTATGTATATTTGTATTCCATGAGAATTTGTTGTTTCAGTGTATGATTGTGCATTGGTTGTGTATGTTTTAATATGTTAATCTGTGCAGTGATTGTGTTGTGCGTTTTTATTCGTGTTATGTGTTTTGTGTGGACCCCAGGAAGAGTAGCGGATGCATTTTGTTGCATCAGCTAATGGGGATCCTAATAAAATAAAAATAAAATAATAAATAATCAGCAATTGTGGGAGGGCCTGTGCAAATGTTTCTGGACTCTGCCCTATTAGCATAAACCCCGCCCTGAGTGAGCTGTACACAGTCCGCCATGTTTATCTCCTGGCCAGAGCATTCAAGTAAGAAATGTATTCTTATTAAAGCTACTAAAGTTATTCAATCAAGAGCAGTGAGTCATTTTCTGTTTTCTTTTGTTGTTTGATTCATATTAACAGCATATACTGTATTATGCTGCTGCTTTCACTTTAGTAGGCCTACACAGGTCTAATGGAATTTCTTCACTAGCTGTTTACATTCACACACATAACAGACAGTGTTTATGTGAACTTTGTGTGTTTTTGACATAACCTTGTGTGTATTTGACAGTTTAAGCGCAATAAGACAGAACTAAGTTTAATACTCATTGGACGTGCTGTCTAATATCCAGCTCTCTGTGCTCGTGCTTCAGATGCGTGCGCTCAGAAAACCCCATAAACTGATATGGCTTTAAAAGGCATTCAGATAATAAACTTTCATGATGATGAAGATCTGCAATGTCACGTGTGCGTGACTGCGATAGAGATGATAATCAAAACCAAACAGAGGTTTTGCTAGTTTTTGGCAGAATATTCCGAGGCACGAGCTGTAAAGGCTCCGCCCTCTTCTGGAAAGCGGGGTGGGAGCAGCAGCTCATTTGTATTTAAAGATACATGCATGAAAAAATCATGTTTTTCCTTCCACTTAAAAATGGTCATTTACAACATGGTATAATAAATTATCTGTGGGGTTTGAGCTGAAACTTCACAAACACATTCTGGGTACACCTGAGGCTTACAGCTTATAAAAATGGACATAGGTCCCATTTAACTTTAAGTTAGATAGCAGTTTATGCTTTTTTTTTTAAAGTATCTGTATTATTATTAGCCTACTCTACTGTGTATTAGTGTTAGTGTAATGTCAAAGCACAGGAAGGAAAGCAATGTAAGTTTTGTACATCTAATCATTTTTGAACAGGACTAAGAATGCAACTTTCTTAAATGGCCACACAGCACACAGTCGAGAGGCATGTAAGTTAACTAAGGTTTACAGCATGGTCAGGTAGACAGGAGGAATGAGCGCGCTCTAGTGACGCGCGTCTCTTCCACTTTAAGAAGGCGGATTCGCCGTTGCACACACTGTGTGTTTATTACGAGCCTTGAAGTGGCACATGGAAGCGATACAGTAAAATATGGCGAAACCTACTGGCTTTGACAGCACACGCACCAGCTTGGAAGTTTTTTTGAATTCTGCATTTCATTACGATGACGTGTAGATGAGTTGTCATATTTTCTGTACGTATATCAACTAGTTTCACATGGTTCTTCTTCTGCCACACACGCGCCTGTAAATGCGGCAGCGTTGGCGAATCCCGTCTGATCCGACTCTCACAGCTGGATATTTTCGGCTGCTTAGGAGGAACTCTGGAGAGCTGAAGACAGGTCAGGAGAGCAGAGACTGAGATGGAAGAGCTGTCAAGCCCGAACAGACGCCAGTAAGCTTGTGGATTCAGTGATTTACACGCGATGGCAGCGTCTAGTAACTCCAGTCTGTCGGGTTCCTCCGTCTCCTCGGGTGAGTAGCTACTAATGAAACGAAATGAAACATGGATATTTTGTTTGGGAATCTGAAGAAGCACTTGACGTGATTATGGCAGAAAGGATATGGTTGGCAGTTTCATTTCTGTGGTTTTGGATGGATTTAAAGCAGACAGGATAGAACATGGTGAAGAGGTGTGTCAAACAGTTGCTATACCTTTTCTTCATGCAGGACGAACTAGACCCACCTTTGACTTTCTTCACCAATGTAAGAGCATGCAGTTTTTAATATCAACCAATGCACGGTGGCAGAGGATTGTGTAATGTCACACTCACAGTGCACGAGTTTTACAGGCCACCTCTATCTGATAATATGGCATATGACTCGATAATATCACGATAACTGTTAACCATTATGTGTGAGGTTAAAAAAAAGTGCTAAATTATAAATATTATAATTCCAAATAATATCCTATTTTTTAATCCTCAGTGAAAAAACATTTGCTACTGCATGCACTGATTTTATGTAGAATTAAAAGCATTTTGTCTTCTCTCTCTAATATAGCTATATTTATATTAAGTTGTTACCATACGCTCTTAAAAAAACGTTATTTATTGGCATTGATGGTTCCACAAATAGCCTTTAATATCCATTGTACAAAAGGATCTTTATTGTGGAAAAAAGTTCTTAAGATTATTAAAATGTTCTTCACACTAAAAACTGGTTCTTTTTGAGGAGCCCAAAATGGTTCTTCTATGGCATCGCTGCGAAATAACCTTTATTTTTAAGTCTGTCGTTCACCATAACAAGTCCATAAAAAATACAACTTTTATCATGTTATATTTTGTGAGGTTTACTATAAAATTTTAAATAATCAGCCCTTTTACCATGATTTTATACATCAAAGAACATATTATCGAAACCTGGATATTTGTGGAAATATCAGCGTATTGAGGAAATAGTGTCATGACCTTGTCAATGATTCATCCGTGCATTCGTTTCTTTTTTTTAATCAAAACAACACGCTCTTTCGTTTAAATGACATACTTGTTTAATCATTAAGTTCGCATAAATACCCTGCCCCTTTCTTTCAGTCGACTGCAAGCTCACATTCAGATCTTCAATGTCAATTATTGATATCCCAAGTATATATCACTGCAGTAACGACAACAGTCGACCTCTCAGAAAATGATCTAAACTTTAAAAACTGGAAAGTTTGGGTTTTGTCGGTCCATTTCAAAAAGTTGTAACGTGGGAACCAAAAACTGGTTTGGACACATCCAGGACAAATGCACTTGCCTCCCATTGTCTCAAGGGATAACGGTTACAACACACATATAGCCTACCCTAAATCCCAACATTTCAGATTTTTTTGGATCTAAAATGAGTCATCAAATGTTTTCATGGGCGTGTGATGAAAACTAATTACCCTAAAAGCTGTTCCTCTCTCCGTTTTATGCACTTGAAAGATTTTCTATTACCCTGATCTTATTATCTGCAAGAAATTATTGATGTTGAAAATTAGCTTTTAAAATTACCTGTCATCTTCCTAGCTGAGTGTCATGGTGTTTGAACTACATTATCTCAAGTTTGATTGCCAAGATATTAACTTCCACCTACAATTAGCCGTTAATTTTCAAAACTTTTGCCATATTTTCACACATGTACCAAACTGCATCTTTTGCCAACAACACATTTCAATCTAAACCCATGTACACTACTGTTCAAATGTTTGGGGTTGGTAAGATGTTTTGGTTACGCTTCCTTTTACAGTCCTGTTACCCATGTACTTACTATGTACTTATTATTGTAATTATAATTACTGGGTAATAACTAGGTACTAACCCGGAACCTACCCCTAACCCATGTACTTACCATATATTAGCCAGTACTTTCTAGGTAAGTACATTGTACTGTACTGTAAAAGGAAGCGTTACCGATGTTTTCTGCCTTTTTTTGATAAAAAGACATTAATATTTTGAATATTATAAAATGAAATTTATTCTTGTGATGGCAAAGCTGAATTTTCAGCATCATTACGCCAGTCTTCAGTGTCACATGATCCTTCAGAAATCATTCAAATATGCTGATTTGCTGCTCAAGAAACATTTATTATTATTATCAATGTTGAATATTTTGCCTTTTTTGATCAATTTATTGTGTCTTTGCTGAATAAAATGATTTATTTTTTAAAAAGAAAAAATCACACTGACCCCAAACTTGATGTAGTATGACTTATTCACATTTTGTGAGGTTAGATGAGAAACGCACATTGGTTGGAAGGAACGGAAACCACCATCCATAAATCCATAATTCCCTGTAAGACACAAAAACACAGTAAATGTCTAGCATGAGGTTGGCCGGAGGTGTGAGAAGCACAAACGGGTTTGCAGGTGTTTAAATAAACCGATCACAAGAGTGAGATAAGGTTGGAAGCGCACTCAGAATCACTCCCACGTATTAACACCCTGTTCTCAAGCTGCTCCGCTTGGCATTGCGTTTGTAAGAACAGAAGGAGGGATGTGTATGATCTGAGGAACAGTCACACGTCTCAAGGGAGTGCAAGTTCAAATAACAAGCTTTGTTAAATGGGCGTGTAAAGAAGAACCGTTTTCGAGCAGGCACTCATTTCGTTGAAGCTCAATAGTGACCTTGGGAGAGAGAAAGAGAGGGTTTGCCTCGTTCAATTCCGTGCTTGCTGTAACTCTTCATTCAGAGGCACAGGACCGCGATTCGTCCCCCACGCCAAGCCACGGGCTCTTGAGATCCAGTAAAGGGATCAAGCCAAGCCATGACTCTCCGTGGTCGCCATCCATTCCCAAATAGATTATCTCACATGCGTGTTGCTGAAGAAGCAGAACTGCACTGTGGCTGCGAGGCCTGGAGAAGGCGGAGGAACTTTTTGCGCCTGCGGTACGGAGAGCTGTCATTAGCTCCGTGCCCCCGGTGTAATCATTGGATGCTGAATACCAGGCTCGCCGTGTCTGTCACAGGAGTATCATTATGTTGGAAAAACACTTTTTTTGGCTTTGTGTGCAATGCGCACCCGTTCTGCTTTATATTAGCCAAGGACAGGGCTGTAAACAAATGCAGGGCAGAGCGAGATGGATGCCGCTCCGCTCAGCTCTTCTGACTTCAAAGGCCAGTTTGAGCTTTTGATGTTTCCCTAAAGGAAAACTGGGACTGCAGCTCAGAACGGCAGCTTGTGAGCGATGTTGAAATTATGGGTGATTTCATGGGTTTGCGCTAATTTGATTGCTTCTAATCTGAAGGGGTTGTGTTGATTTAAGCTTGGGGAACTTGACCAGAAGGTTACTGGATTAATCCCAGTAAGGAGGGACTCAACTGTCCACTGTACCCTTAAGCGAGACATTTAACCCCAGGTTGCTCTAGTCTAGACGGATTGTCTTGATAATAAGTGCACTTCAGTAAGTCGCTTTGGATGAGACTTTGGATAAAATAACCTGCTAAATGACTACTTGCGTAATTATGAATCTGCATGTGGTAAGTGAGTAAAGTAGTTGTTAAGTTTAGGTATTTGGTAGGATTATGGGATGTAGAATATGCTCATGCAGAATAAGGCATTAATATATATGTGCTTCATAAGTACTAATAAACAGCCAATATCCTAGTAATATGCATGCTATAAGCAGCTATTTAATAGTGAGAATTGGACCCTAAACTAAAGTGTTACCCTTCTTTTAAAGTCAACATTACAAAGCATTTACAACCCATTTTACTTTCGTAATGTGACTCTAAAAATATTATGTGGTGTGATTATCAAGTAAGAATAAGAATGTTCGGTAACACTTTAGTTTAGGGTCCAATTCTCACTATTAACTAATTACTTATTAGCATGTATATTACTAGGATGTTGGCTGATTATTAGTACTTATAAAGCATAATGCCTTATTCTGCATGACCATATTCTACATCCCCTAATCCACAATACCTAAACTTAACAACTACAGTACCTTACTATCTATTAATAAGCAATAATAAATAAATAAAAACAGCATTTATTTGAAATAATTAAATCTGTCCTTGCTGATTATTTTTTAATGTTGGTTGCACCGTATGAGTTTGATTTGGCAGACAAAACATTTTTTTTTTAATTTATAATATATAAAATATAAAATATGAAAATGAATTGTATTTAGAAATTTAAAACATGGTCATCTTATAAGAGATGCATTCAAGACATTGTATGTATAAACTATATTTTTAATACATGTTTGAATAAATTAGTAGATTTAGACCAAAAATTTGTATGTCATTGATCTAAAAATGGTCTTTTTTGACTCCTAGTTTGTACTTGATCATAGTCATCGTGAAAATGACGTCTGCTTCTTGTGGTTCTGTTCTGTGTTCTTCTGGAAGTGAAGGGCGAGTTCTACAACAGGAAAAGATCACATGATTGTCTGAAAGCTCTGGTAAGCAAACAGCAAGAGAGATAGCTCTCAACAGGGCTTGCCTGTCCTTTTACTCGGCTTCTTTGCATTGCAGGCGGCATCGGCTTGTTTGAGGTAAAGCTCTGTTCCTCGTCCTGGAGTTGGTTAACATCAAAGTCAAGTCAAAGGCTAAGGAAAAAAAGGAAATAGAAGAACTCTTACAAATCAATTCATGCAAACAAAATCACTCTAGTTCACCCCAAAATTAAAATTACCATTCACTCTCATAAAGCTTGGAAGAGCCAGGACATTTTTTAATATAACTCCGATTGTATTCGTCTGAAAGAAGAATGTCATATACACCTATGATGGCTTGAGGGTGAGTAAATCATGGGATAATTTTCATTTTTGGCTCAGCTATCCCTTTAAGATGAAGACTGAAGTCTGGGTAAATGTCTCATAGAAGTGGTCTAGTAAAAGAACCTCGGTTTTTCGAGATCTTTTCTAAGCTGTTTCACGTAGCTAAAAAAAGCATGAATGAAGGGGCGAAAGATTGAATGGAAGCTCGGCCTGTGATGACAGAGCTGGTAAATGAGGCGTGCACATCACTTACTGGCCCGAAAATGGTACTTTCTCTCCTTCGCT